GACCTGTTTGATCACAATATAGATCTTGATTATATGTTGGTTGGTCGACAGGAGAGGCATAGAAGGGATATAACTGGTAATAGCCACTGGTGGCGCTACGATCGAGCCCAGGAATTCCAGCCAAGTTCGGAAAGGGTGGAAACTGGACTTTTAAAGTCAGTTAACTCTTTTGCCTCGGGAAGATGAGTTCAATGGGTCCACTACCAATGGGTGGTCCTGCCCTTTGGCATTTCAGTACATGAATAACCAAGCCAGTAGTTATCTTTCTACTATGAGGAACATATACAACTGCCTCCTGAATCATCCAGACATGGCTACCCTGGATTTCCAACAGGACTTTACTATTCACCTACTGTATCAATTCGGATGGGTGGTCAACAAGGCAAATCGGAATTGATTCCATCTTACCAATTCCAGTTTATAGGGGGCCAGTTCCAAACAGATCAGCACCTACTATCAGTGACTACCATGAGACTGCTCAGGACCAGCATCAACGTTAACGATTGCCTGATCAGTCTTGACCTGCAGGATGCTTACCTGCATGTACCTTTCTATCCCTCTGACCTCAGTTTTCTCAAGTTCCAGTTCAATCATCTTCCCGAGACAAGTGACTTAACTGACTAAAAGTCCAGTTTCCACCCTTGCCGAACTAGGCTGCTATTTTGGAGTTAGATTTTGGCTGGACTAACGAGTCTATGCATAGCCCAATCACGATTGCACAACGAAATCGAAATCCGGTTCGTAAACTGTCATGCAGATTTTGATTGATTGCAGGATTTGCAAAGCATGTTCACCGCCAACTTGTCAACAGATATTTACCAAATCTTTTCATGTTTTTAATCAAGGTGCTCATGTGATATGATGCACTTCACGATGTAAGACCTGTTTGATCACAATATAGATCTTGATTATATGTTGGTTGGTCGACAGGAGAGGCATAGAAGGGATATAACTGGTAATAGCCACTGGTGGCGCTACGATCGAGCCCAGGAATTCCAGCCAAGTTCGGAAAGGGTGGAAACTGGACTTTTAAAGTCAGTTAACTCTTTTGCCTCGGGAAGATGAGTTCAATGGGTCCACTACCAATGGGTGGTCCTGCCCTTTGGCATTTCAGTACATGAATAACCAAGCCAGTAGTTATCTTTCTACTATGAGGAACATATACAACTGCCTCCTGAATCATCCAGACATGGCTACCCTGGATTTCCAACAGGACTTTACTATTCACCTACTGTATCAATTCGGATGGGTGGTCAACAAGGCAAATCGGAATTGATTCCATCTTACCAATTCCGGTTTATAGGGGGCCAGTTCCAAACAGATCAGCACCTACTATCAGTGACTACCATGAGACTGCTCAGGACCAGCATCAACGTTAACGATTGCCTGATCAGTCTTGACCTGCAGGATGCTTACCTGCATGTACCTTTCTATCCCTCTGACCTCAGTTTTCTCAAGTTCCAGTTCAATCATCTTCCCGAGACAAGTGACTTAACTGACTAAAAGTCCAGTTTCCACCCTTGCCGAACTAGGCTGCTATTTTGGAGTTAGATTTTGGCTGGACTAACGAGTCTATGCATAGCCCAATCACGATTGCACAACGAAATCGAAATCCGGTTCGTAAACTGTCATGCAGATTTTGATTGATTGCAGGATTTGCAAAGCATGTTCACCGCCAACTTGTCAACAGATATTTACCAAATCTTTTCATGTTTTTAATCAAGGTGCTCATGTGATATGATGCACTTCACGATGTAAGACCTGTTTGATCACAATATAGATCTTGATTATATGTTGGTTGGTCGACAGGAGAGGCATAGAAGGGATATAACTGGTAATAGCCACTGGTGGCGCTACGATCGAGCCCAGGAATTCCAGCCAAGTTCGGAAAGGGTGGAAACTGGACTTTTAAAGTCAGTTAACTCTTTTGCCTCGGGAAGATGAGTTCAATGGGTCCACTACCAATGGGTGGTCCTGCCCTTTGGCATTTCAGTACATGAATAACCAAGCCAGTAGTTATCTTTCTACTATGAGGAACATATACAACTGCCTCCTGAATCATCCAGACATGGCTACCCTGGATTTCCAACAGGACTTTACTATTCACCTACTGTATCAATTCGGATGGGTGGTCAACAAGGCAAATCGGAATTGATTCCATCTTACCAATTCCAGTTTATAGGGGGCCAGTTCCAAACAGATCAGCACCTACTATCAGTGCCATGGGACAGATTGCTCAAGATCCTTCACCATCTGTCACCTGCCCTTCCACAATCCTGCACACTTCACCAGTGGCAAGTGTTGTTGGGCTTGCTCACATCAGCCCAGTATTTGACAAGCAGACATCTCCTGCACCTATGCCCAATACAGCAGTTCCTAGGGCCTTACATCAAACAGAGTCGAACGTCTTAGGAGGTGTCTCCTTATCAGGGCTAACCCCAACACTGCACCTGTTCATAATAGATGCCTCTCTACAGGGAGTGCACATCTACAAGACCCGACAGCCTCAAGGCTGTGGGCCGGACCCAATGTACTTGGCATATCACCAACCTCTAGTTGGAGGCACTCATCAGGGGGTTGAAAAAATATGAAAAATGTTACTTGATCAAGGGCAAGTATGACCAACAGTCTTACATGCACTATTTTAAAATGTACTTGCCCCAAATCTAACCAATAAATTCAGTAAAATGTCACAATTACAGAACTGAGAATCAGAGATAGTGTTCCCTCACTATTGCGCCCCTGATTATAGCGATAACTCGGTTATAGCGCGGTAATGCATGTCTCCCAAAATTTACTTACATATTTAATCAACTTAAGTTTTACACTGACACGATGTTTCTCGAAATCGTATGTGAAGTGATCAGTAGATCGCTGTAGTTACTCGCCATTATTTACAGCAAATATGGTCAGATTACCGCTATTGACGCCTTGAAACGAACTTTAGTTGCAAGAGAATGGATACACATATCACAAATGCTGTACCATGACTCGCTAACAGTCATATTTGAGGCAGTTTGACTACTAAACGTCAACATAACGTTTTCGCAATCGAAATACGTGTAGCACGTGAAGTCCCTGTGGTGACTGGTCAAATTGTTCCATACGTTAAAAAATATCCTGCACATCACCTGTTCCAAAGTGCTACGCTTATGGTTCTTATAATTTTAAGTATATTTAGCGGAAGCTGCAACTAAAATAACACGATATTGGAATATATTATTCCTGATGAAATAATAATTAAAGATACAAATTCTTCCGAATATTGCATCAATTTCTTTGAAGTTGTATCATTTGGTACTTTTTAACTGAATCACCTGTAGATTGGGAGGAAACGTGTGCACAGCTGATTGCTATTTCCAGCTTAGTTTACGAGAAAATAAACACAGTATCTTAATCTCTGCATATAAAACAATGCCTTGGAGACCAGGAAATACATTTTAAATAGTAAATCATCACATATAGTGATGTTTAATATCAAATTTCATACTTTCATTGACCAAGTTTGTTATACCTGTTTATTTACCTGAATTCGCTGACTGGATACAATGTGTCTTTTTTGAAAGCGCATATTATTACTTGATAAATCTTTTTTTACACTATGAATCATAAACAACTTCTATTCTAATCTTATTTGAAACTCTGAAACGTGCAACGTAGATCGTGTTAGGTAGGCAGAGCATGTATACTATTTTGTATATTCCCTACAACTCGACCTCAGTTAAATCGCTGATCATCCAAAACGCTCATCAATTATTTGGACCCCAAAGGTAGCGTTGTAGGGAGAGATCACTGTATCTTAAATGCCATAATTTTGACTCGTTAAAAGTCATATTTGTTGTAGTCTGACTTATGTGTCAACACAGTTTTCGCGATCGAGAGCGCCTGAGCCTCTACCGTGACTTGTGTGTTCACATAAAATATTGCATCAAAGCTAGGCCAAGCGAAGCTTCTAAAGTCACCACTAGGCCTACCTCGCATTACAATTTCCAAGAAATGTAGTCAACTGTCCATCATTCAATTTCCAAGAAGCATGTGCCATATATGGAAGTGTTTCTAGGATTTATCAATGAAACAAACCTGGTTATCATTGTTGTTGACCTGCCTTACATCGAACTGTATTAATCCCATTGGTTGGCTGGTGTAACTGTATGCAAATTAGATTGCCATTCTGTGACACCAGCAAAATATTAGCCAATGAAATATCGTAACATGATCACATTCTCGTGAAACTTGACCCAGTTCATTTTGTATGCTCTACTTGTCCACGGGCATGCTAGAAAATGTATACATTACTCGCCCGACATCTAAACCTTACTTGGCATGGGCGTCGGGCAACCCCTGACTCATTCTGGCAATATCACAATGGCAGGAGCACCTACGGAACACTCAACTCGCAATCTCCACTGACAACAGCATGGTGGTGTGGTAAGCACAACCAAGGAACAACTCACTCCATCCCTACTTCAACAGAAGTTTTGGTTCTTTCATCTGCAGGATCGACTGGGGCTACAATTTCTAGTCAGGATGTCAGTACATTCTGGCGGATGCATTATTCAGACCAGACAGTGTGGCTCCCACTGAGTGAAAACTCCTCCCAGAGGTGCTCCACAGTTTGATCAAACCAATATCGACCTCTTCGCAACACATTAGAACCACCAGCAGATGATGTATGTCTCACTGACACAGGTTCTGCAGGCTTGGGCAGTGCATGCATTCAGCATCCCCTGGGAAACCCTAAAAGCATACACTTTTCTGTCCTCCTGTACTACTTCCCAGGGTGATATACAAAATGAATGCAACCAAAAGCGTCGCTTTGATTTTGGTCATGCCCTAGTGGACAGCGAGGGGTTGGTTTGAACATATCAGAAATCTCGCAGAAAACAATCCACTCCCCCTGCCACATAGGTCGAACCTACTCATCCACCCTCACAGCACACTACCTCACCCAACAGCAGGCAGATTTCGTCTTATTTAGATTTTACTAATATTCACTTTACCTTTCTGTCACATTGAGTTGTCTGGCGTTGTTCCCCTGGACAGTTGTCTGTGTATAACCATCTTCTAATGACATGGTGCAGCTGGATCTGGCAGGACTTGTTCTTTCAGCCTGAACAAACAAAGACACAAGTAATCAATCTGAATTAAGGTTCAGGAAGTGGCAATAAAGTCCATAGTTATAAGTGTGCAAGAGAGTATCATCTTCAAAGTTATATTGCTTTGTTTTACAACCACAAAGCATCTATCAGGGATAATTTTCAAAAAGCAACCATTAAATTTAAATATTATCCAGCCATCCCACTCTATCAATTTACAATGGCTAATATTTAAAATCATTAAATATAAAATCACGATCGATCATATTGTCAGTTAATAAAGACATAATTTAAAGATTAACTTCATTAAACCACAGGAATACACAGCTGTAAACACCCAAGGAAGTTTTTAAATTGATTGTGATATCCTTTTACCTCATAGGATACATGCATCAATAATAATATAAAGATTCACAATCTTCCCATTTCATTTTCAGTCAAAGATCATCTCAAATAAACCCATGATGCTCATGATGTTAATCACTGGATTGTCTGATCCAGACTTGATTATTTACAGACTGCTGTCATATAGCTGGAATATTGCTGAGTGCGGCGTTAAACAACAAACAAACAAAGCAAACAGATATTGAAAACAAATGATCAGTAGCTTGACGTGTTCAATCTGACCAATCATCAACGTTCCTAATGACGTAGCTTTGGTGAGATTTTGGTTAAATTATGCCAAAGAAATATCAAGTCTGTTTTCCTGATGCAACATGATTGCCCCTAATTTCATTTAAAACCTGCTGTTTTTGCTGTCTGTGGCTCCACTCCATAAATTTCCTTCCATTTCCAAGAAATGTATGCCACATTTGGAAGTGCCATTACATTTTATAACAATTAATTTGATGAATGTGACTCATTGTCATTGTTGACCTTTCTGACCGTGTATTGATCTCATTGGTTGACTAATACTGTTGTATGCCAAATAGATTGCAGATCTTCGCCGCTGGCAAACTATTAGCAATCAACCTTTCAGGCACCTGAGAGGACTATCCAATTTTATTTTATTTCATTTTATATGAACATTGTTTAATCATTCACCATATGGATTCAATTACCAGGTGATGACTAGACAAAGGCCGATCCAGGTCAAACGGGCACCACGGCAAGTGACCGTGATGAGGGTCATTCCACCAGTGACAGAAGTTATTTCACATAGTGTCACGAAGACATAGGAATATACAATGCATGTAGATATCCTAAATGCAGTAGGTGTAGCCCTACAAGGCGGATATAAGCAATTACGCTACAATAAGTAGTGGGTGGAACTCACAAATATAGGTGACATCAAATGAACTACATTGTATCACGTACCCAAATCGACCAGGTGATTTGGAACATATTTAAAAAAAATTGGCACAGCAAACAAACAGTCAGTTAGATCAGTGGTGATATATGTTTATTTTATATAGCAATAACAAATACGTTTCACATTTGTAATAGGGGTGACTATTGGTCTGGAAATCACTATTGCAATACTATTGATATTGAAAGATACTATTGCAATAACTATTGATATTGCAAGCAACAATTGTGATAAATATCGATAGTTTTCAGTGTATCATTTTAGATGGATTTTAGAGTTGAATTAAACCTTGGAATTGACTTTCCTTTGAATATGATAACCATAACAACAAATAAAAAGTAAAGTTTGAGATATGACTGATTTGTTTTTTCTTTACCCTAATAATTTAAGAAAAAGAAACTTCCACATTACCATGTGTAAATTACTACCACTCATGATCAAATGAAAATCAAATTTGAACAGCAGTGCATGTATTATTGATATGGTAAATACAATCGAAACTATCGATATTCCTAACTGAAACCAATTGATCGGAAACTGATTTAACAATCGATTTATTGACTTTAAGTGCTTACCAATAGCAATATATCGATATTTCGATTTATTGTGACACCCCTAGTTTGTATGCTGCACTGCATACAACATGTACAATATGATTAATCTCACAAACACAGTCTTACTGATCGAAATATACTAAAGACCTGTACATTACAATGGAGTCTTCTCAGCTAGCTCAAAAGTGAAATTTGAGAGGATTACGGGGATTAGGGCTGGGGGATTATAGTCTATTATTGTCAGGTGAATGATACCATGGTTAGCTCAAAAGCTTAGAAGCTGAAGTTAACATTTATAGTTGAATTCTGAGTGAACACCTATCCCCTAGACAAGTTTTGATTACCAGTCAAGTTTTGTTGTTAGTGCATATTTCATGTGTTGATAATCAACTGTATCTGTTGTTGTTACTTGATCAAGTTATAAAGTGTTGGCCATAACCATTATGCCAAATGCCCGGGTTCAAGTCCACTTCCTCACAGGAAGGGTGGTAGAATATTGGTTCATGCTGACCATCAATACACCAAACAAATAGCCACAAAGACACGACTATGGGTGATGTCTACATCACACCACTGGGTGTCCAGCTACTCTGAACACTAAGAATGCCATTCTAGTTTAAGAACCTCCACAACCATCAAGCAGACCAGTCAAAAGTAGACATTGGGGTTTTCTAAAGTGACACAAAGAAGCGTGGTAGAGAAGAAGTGATTCCAGTTACAAGAATATACCAGGAAGAGGTTCCTACTTATGAAACTGTGTTTTATCAAATATGGCCGCACCACCTTACTCCATTTATTAAAGTTTTATTATTATTGGCAATAAAGCTGAACTAAAAAAAAAGAATGATATAAATTTATGAAAATCTAATATGTCTTGTCACTACCTTTCATTATTATGCTCTTCTGAGATCCACCTTGACGGCCAGTGGCGACAGACTCCCATGGAGTTCCATAATATATGTAACCCAGTGTCCAATGAGCGTAAAGTGTTTTTATGTATGTGAAAACTATTATACGTTTTGTACAAATAAATCTATATATAGAAATAAAATTGTTTTATTATTTCTCATACAAACTATGTCTGTTGTCTGCAGTGGTCAGGAGATGGAACAGACTATATGTTCAGGCAACATATTTCTGTATCCCCTGTTACAGATAGAACACTTCAGCCAGGTTACTGCAGAGTCCAGAAGTGTTATAAGAGTATTATAACAAAGTATTTTTCTTATAAATAGAAAGATTAACTACAGAGACATCTCAAGATTTAAAGATTAACTCAGACTCATTCCAACCTGTGTTTATTAATGTAAGATGAAATAGTCTAAGCTTAAGGAATGTTAGTTTTGTTATGTTGAAAAAGAAACTGTATACATCTTGTGTTGTAGTTTCATGTATTGTGCCAAGTTTCTGTGCTTCATACACATACACAATTTATCTTTACAAGTGCTGAACTTGTTATTTCTGGTATCAAATATATAATAATCACTGATTTGTATTATCTTATATTATCAATGGCCATAGTTTTTATTGATAAATGTATGTTAGGAAAACACTTTTTTATTTTCAGCAGTAGCTTTTATCTGGATACAATGTTGAGAAACTGGAGTACTACTCTTAGAGGTGTGACCAAAGCAAATTTACCATTTGTCTAAAAAATCTTTCACTTGCCTATAACTCATTACAAAAGTTGCCAATTATCTAAAAATTGTCTTTTTATAATTTGTTTATTTTTCTAAAGTATTTACACGTTTTCGCATAACAATATATTCAAAGAAATAAAGCATGATAGCTTCACCAAAGCTTAAAAAAGTAATCTCTATTACAATTTATGACTGAAGCATACTTTGTTAACTTATAGAATTCAGTGAGCTCCTTCTGTAAAAATTAGAATGTTGGTGTATAGTTATTATTTCTAAAGTTGAAAATGATTTGTTTTGACAAAAAATGATAAGGATTGTTATTTTTCGTTAAATAACCAAAAAGAACATTTTCTTTGGATATCCAAGTTTCCATGTCTCGCCAGATGGAGCTCACTTTGTTGCATTCTAAAACTATATGTATAACATCTTCTGTTTCATTAGAACAGTAGCTACAACTTGTACTGTCTACGTATCCCATTTTATTAAGAAGACAGTTTGTTGGCAAAATAAGATGTAAAATTTGTTCGTTATTATCTTGAAGATAATAAATGAAACATACCCCTTTTACAAACCATTCTTGATAAAATATACTGGTATTTCCTATTCTAAATTCTCGTTATACCATATATATATTGTGCTGGGATACCCTTGTCATGGATGTGATCTAGGAATATCCACCAGGCCTTCATGAAGTCCTTGTAGTTAACATTACTCATCTTGGTAATCATATGTAATCTTAATGTCTTGCAAGTAATTTAGAATGCATTATATGTTCCAGAATTAGGAATATTTAAAAAGAATAATACACCAAGTCTTTGAAAGGCATTTAGAAGTGATACACATAAGGAAGACAATTTATGGATGTCAACTTCTTTATTATGAGGATCACAATGTTTGGAGTCATCAGGGGATGAAGGAGTAAGCATATACTCTCAAATGTTGTGATCCTCATAATAAAGAAGTTGACATCAATAAATTTCTTCCTTAATAATACACCACTTTGCTATTTTTTTCGCATGTATTAATTCTAGTATTTTGGAGAAGTTTTATACCTCCATCTGACGTTTCACCTATAATTTGACTTCTCTTTACTTCATCGGGTTTACCTCCCCCAATGACTAAGAAATACCTTTTTGAAAATGTTTAAGCTTAGTATCTGGTGGATCTGGTAGAGATTAGAATACATAGAATACAATGATTGAATTTCGTTATGAAAGAATTCTATCCATCTTCTTATTGAAATTCCAAAAACAAAAAAGTTTTGTGTTTCATCTATGAATTCCCAATCAACTGTATCAAATGCCTTGTCTACAAGTAATAATAAACCTGGTATTTGATACCTATATCATTGCAGTCTTGTAGGTCATAGATTTGTCTTGTTATTTCACCAATTTATCTTCCAGCCATAAATCCTTTTTGATCCTCATTAATAAGGAGGTTTAACACAGATTTTCCCTGAGAATACTGATGGTAGGTTTGTGGGTTGCCAGTTTTTCAAATGTTGTTTTGGA